GTGTATAAGAGACAGATATATATAGGTTAGGTCTCCATTTAAGGGATGCTTAGTGTTAATAGATTGAAGATTATTTGCTTCTTTGAAAAAATTGTCTCAAATTAACAAGGTCTTGGAATTAGAAGAGTCTCGAATTGGAGGGTGCATTGTGTTTAGCATAAAAAATACCAAAATGTATTCAAATGCCAGTGAGCAACCAAATCGGAAAAAGTTGTTTTAACGTAGCTTAAGGTGTTATCTGTATCTAAGTATATTCACTTAAGTTAAGCACATTACCTGTTTGACACTGAGTTCCCATCCATCCTGGTAGACAGGTGCACTGGTACAAGTTCAGTAAGTTAACGCATGCAGCGCCATTTTGGCATGAATAAAAAAAACATTCATTAATTTCTGCAAAAATAAAAACATAAAATGTTTACCTTTACACAATCTTTCAAAACCTTGAAATGTGCCAAATCTAAAGGTTCTAAAAGTAAAACATTATTAGCCTCATCACCATGATGGTGGAAATGAGATGAGTGTGGACTTTTAAGGCAGCAACAATTTCTCATTGGCAGCTATGGACTTTAAAGGGCTGTCAAGATATAGAAGGGCAAGACATGTTGCAAGGACAGAGCAGAGTAGATGAATGTACCTTCTGGAAAAGAAATTATGTGACAGGCCGAAAGAAAATGGCACAAGAAAAAGGTTCAGAACACAAATTCATTAAAAATTCATTAAAATCAGAAAAATTTATACACAGAAATTTCAGTTATTTGTGATTGATTATAATTTGTTTAAACAAGAGGCTAACAAGTTGACTCACCTATTTCACAGGCTGGACCAGTCCACCCAGGTGCACACTGACACTGGTATGAGTTGATGAGGTTGAGACAAGTGGCACCATTCAAACAAGGTGTGCTTCAACATTCATTAACATCTAAAAAACAAATCAAAAACATAATCATTATCGCAAGTCAAAAAGGGTGTTTTTTTATCTTTTTTAATATAAACATCTGGAATATGTCAATGTCATATCACACCCATACATGGGCAATCCATAGAATTTTGTGGCTTTATAATCTTGACTGTGTAGACAAAATTATATATCATACCTATATATATGCATGATGATGTCATATCAAACACTTTATTTGGGAATGATGATGTCATACCAAGCCCATATTAGGTAGTTAAATATAAGAATACTGTAAGAAAAATCTATATAAATTACATCAGCATTAACTGAACACCTTACAACTTGTAAAAATACATTTAATCACTGTCTGTGTAGAACATTCAATGGATGGATGGATCTATTCGGTGTAAGCACCAAGGATAATCCACAAAAGTCTGAAGAAGACTTATTTCCAGTGGGGTCCTTCTGGTGGTGATTGGGCAGTACACCAGGAAACAATCCCTATACTTTTCCTAAAAGTGTACTGCATTCTTGCACATGGGCCATAATTTCCTAAACTTTTCATCTGAAAGACAATGCTCTACCATAACATTCATTTTTGCCCTCCGACTGAAATACTGTACAAGGAAATGATTGACACTCATCAACATCTATAAAGAAAAATATTATTAATAAAATTAAATCCTTTATGTCTCTTTATTTAATAATTTATGCATTAAACATTAAAAAAATACAAATAAGATTAAATGCAGAATAAACAATTAATAACTGGAAAAAACCTCCTCAACTAGACATCCAGTATTTCTGATTCTAATCTTCCAGGCTAAAAAAGTGATGTAAACTAAATGGAAAAACTATCCCCACTAGATAGCATTCCCAGTATTTCGTAAAGGTTTAGAGCTAGAAATAGAAATGCTGTATGATGTTAAATAAAAACTATCCCTGACGAACACCATCCTTATATTACTATTAATTCCGGGTTGCTGGAAAACAACATATATACAGTACAGTATATTGCCATAAGATTTTGGGGTTTCTTTGAACCAGAACAACGTTTGGTAATAACTATTACTTGCCTTCGCAAAATGACCCAAAGTATCCAGCAGGGCAAATGCATTGGAATGATGATTGCAGTGCGTTTGTGCTGCTGGATTTTCAAGGTTTCCATGGTGTTTAGCAGCTTTTCTTCTAATTAGAATAATATTTTAAAAACATTTATTAATTTGGGATCATAGAAAAGTGGTGTTATATTGGAGGTGGTCTTTATATTGGAGTTGTCCTTTAATTAAAGGGAGACATGTGCTAACTTAGAAATCACACCACACTGGAAATTTAAGGAGCAGGTGGACACTGTGTGGTCATTGAGGTCATCACAAAAATATGTAATTTTTCAGAAATTAATGAGTGTTCAAGTTTCCCTTGTCAAAATGGCAGAGAATGCAGCAACCAGGTGAACCGGTATCAATGTACCTGCCCTCAGGGCTACTCTGGTTTATATAGTATAGAAAAATTTATCAACATATGTTTTCATTGTGTGAAATAAGATAAACTAGAAACTTGAACAATGACATGGCAGTGATGATAATGATTATGATACGATAATAATAAAATGTTAAAAGATGACAAAAATTGTTGTTAATATTTTATGTAGAAGTGGATGCATGTGTGAGCAACCCGTGTATCAATGGCGGCACTTGTCAAGATCAAGGATCTCAAAGTTACATCTGTGACTGCACCGCCCTCTGGCAGGGAACCAATTGTGAAACACTAACAGGTAATCACAATATCAGAATTGTATATATTTCTATTATACATTTGTAGCAAGCACATAGTAGGGGAGATTTCCTGCTGATAAATACACGGTACTGGATAAAGGCAACTTGATTTCTTGCTTCGAACAAGGCATCCATTCAAAGAAAATATAGAATACTAAGATAAGCCTATCTGAGAGTGACTCTAGGGTGGTCAAGACCGGGACATTATCTCCGACTTTAAAATAAAGATTGAATTATGCTAATTATACAACAAGTATACAGAGACTAGCCCATAACATAAGCAATTATATTTAAAAACGTAAGTAAACGTTATTATTCAAATTTTTTTGGATCATTAAAAAGAAATCTTAACAAATATTTTTATTTGTACTTTACTATAAACATATATATTAATGTAAAACATCATGGAGCATAGATACCTAAAATAATAAGCAAATATAATAAATTATCTTAGTATACAGTAAACATATTAAGCAAACTCTAGCAAATTTTTTTTTCTTTATGTGTACATGTATTATTTTCAGATCGTTCCAGTTTCACATATGGAATCTTCTTCCTTGGTATATTTGTTGGAATTTTTGTATTATTTGCTGGATTAATTGGCTACATGAAGATTAAACAGGTTTGTCATATGCAGTAATATATATAAAAATAATAGTAATGATATAAATAATAATAATATTATATAATACTAATATCATTATTATATTTGTATTTGTAACATAAAATTTGATAATGTGGACTGAGATTTAAATAAAAACCACCATTATTGATATTCCTGTGTCGAAGTCTGCACTACTAAATTTTAAAATGTGTTTTCAGAAAACAATTGTAGACAAGAAAAGTAAGGACAGAAGAAAAGATGTGAGTTTTCTTTTATTATAATTACATTAATTATATAGAGAACTGATTTAAACAGATGACTAAACCATTACATTAGACCATTTCTACTTAACACAATTATAGGCCTACAAAATCTGGAAAACTGATCTTTGATTTTACCAAATTTCAGACTTCACAAGTTCTATGGAACATCCGTAGTTCCTACGTAAGGAAATAGACCAAAATACTATGGAAATTTATCATTAGATCTAGACCATTAAATATGTCTACACATCGAATAACGTCCAAGCATATGACTTTTCCATCAGAACCTTTGGTTAAATTGTCCCCCGACAACTCAGGCTTGTCAGATTAATGATAAATTATTGTGAAAATCAAGAAAAAAATGACCTATAAATTTTCGTCTTTGTTGTATTTTTTGGGTTTGTTTCTACAGCTTATGAAACTGTACCTGAAATTTAAGCAAGCCATATTTTGCACTCAAGACAAGTTATTAGGTGGTAGGAAAATTGTGTATTTACTACGGATACTTGGACATGAATAGTGTAATGCATTTACTAGTCTGAAATTCGGTACTAACGTCTTGAAAGTTTAAACACATTGCCTGTAATACCAGTTTATGAAAACATTTTCACAATGGACTTCTCACTTCCCAAGCATCGCATCTAATCTATTCATGGAGAAAGGCATTATATTACGGCAATATCCCCAAATGAAAGGGTGCATGATGACATCTTTGCCGCAATATTGCCAACACCGCCTGAAGTCTCACAACACGTCAGCGTAAACATACATTTATACATTTAAAAACATTTCTCCCTTTTTTGATCCTTCGAGTCATATCTGACAAGGGTGCTCAATCCTCCTGCCACCCGATGTCGCTAAGCTGTTGTGCTACATTCTTCTTGGCACTCCCCTTCTCCCTCTCAACATTTTCTTTCATAATTACAATCTTGTTTTTGATTTTGTACATGAAGAAGTCAATAAATGTTACTTGATATTGAATTCTCTTATTTACTATTACAGTATTTGTAATGATTAATTGAAAACAATAATTTATACATTTGTACTAATAATTTTTTTTCGTATTTTAAAACAGGTTTATATGACATATATGACAGACACTGGCAATAAAAATACAGCATATCAAGATCTCCAACACATTAGGCCTAAGGAAACAGATCCAAATCCAGTATATCATGATATTAGGGAAACAGTTGACGATTACCTTACGGCTATACGTCAAGACACAAATGAAACAGAAACAGGTTACTGTACGTCTATCGTCTAATGTCATGACAGGAAAATAAAAGAAATTATTTTATCTTTATTTAATCTCAATCTTTACACCACATCAGTATAGGATATGTGGCTTTACGCTAAGATGGTTCGATAGCTTTCATCACGATAGGTTTCAGAGAGTCCAATTTAGGGGCTCTTTTTCATCCTGGGTACCTGTCTTGTCTGGAGTCTCCCATGGATCAGTGCTTGGACCAAATTGCCGTGCATGAGGCCTGTAGATTTGTCAGAGGGCATTTTTTTTTTTAAATATTCATAGTGATTTAAATTAATGTATATTTTTATGTATAACAAAATTGTGTGTGTGTATATATATGTATATCCATTCTTGCACCATCTAAACTTCGTACACCCAGCACTCATAACGGTAACACCACATGTAATAAAGCTCGCTGCCAGGTCTGTAGCCATATTAACACAAACAGATCAATAATACTTAAAGCCCCATTCCCGGCAAAATTTCAATTTTTAAGAAAAATCTAATTTTTGTATAATGTTATAAATATTTATAAATATAATACGGAATTGCTAGTTTAACTGAATTTAGACATTCCTAAGA